GAGTTGGCTGCTGATTGCGCTATCGTAAGGTGCCGGCTATTTCGTCATTGTCATCCTTTATTTTATTGGTTTTGGTTGGCGCTGGAACGAAGACCGGATAACAACATTAAAAGATTTATAGCAAAACGTCTAACATCTAATGTCAAACATATGTTCTGACGACGTATTTTCGTAGCCATTCACTCTATATCTTTGATCCATCGTGGGGATGCCTCGTCAGGGATAACTTTACATCCAGTTCACTTCGATATAGACTACCGATCGGCGCGATCGTTATGCGACATTGTCCCTTACGACTAAACAATTCGGCCTTAAGGTTTAAACGTTTAGATCTAGTTTGACTAAAACATGATGGAACGGATGCCAATGTTAGTTTATGTCAGGTGCGAAATACATTTGTAGTCAGGTAGACGAACAAGTTGACTGCGAGAGCAGGGGAGTTACTCTGTGATATAATCCTGACTTCCCACGGAGGTACACAAAACAATTTGCAAAACCCGCACGTGTTCATTTAGAGCTTAGATTTAACCTTGGTGTTAACGTTTGATACCCTTGAGCTCTTGCATGGGCTTTGATGGAATGATGCAAACGTTATTTCGGTTGCCTTGGATTGTGTGACCACTCAGTCGTTCTTCTGATGCAACGTTTCTTCCTTCTTCAGGGGTTGTACCAGCACCGGCACGGTGCTGCTCTGGGTGCCACCGGTATCAGAGATGTTTGTGGCATCTCGTGATCCACCGGAATCACGGCGCCCATTACCACAGCTCTTACAAGTGCATTTCTCATCTATACAGATAACCCCATTGGCAAAGCAATCGCAATACTTCTTCAAGCACCTGGGAGTAATGAGTTAAATTCAAAATGAGATGAACCGTGTGAATAACCGACCAGCACGCTTCAATCAGACTGAGGACTCAGCACTTACCGATTCTTCTTGCAAGAGCAGCCTTCCCCGGTCTTCTTTGTGGGTCTAGTCTCAAACGCGTTAGGACGTCTGGCCTTGATAGTCTTCATTGCAATTCTTCGCTCACCCTTGGGCCCATCGTACTCCTGAGTGTTGTGGCAATCCTTGCAACGGCAAAGGTCCCTGTCGCAGAAGTTCGAAGTCTGAAAGCACTTGCAATAGAGTTTCAAGCAACGAGAACGCTTACAGATGCATCCTTGGACAGGAGGTGAGGAATCACTTGACTGAGACAAGGTGTCAAAGGACACGGCTGGTCTGTAGTTCATGGATCCGACATTGGATGAAAGGAAGCCAGCAGTGCTCATGGTGGGTTTTGAAGTCTGTACATTGCCAAGAGAGCTAAATGTGTCCAAGGTTGGATAGTATGGGACGTTCATTGTGTTCGTCTGGGCCATTCCAAGTTGGTTCTGGTCGACTTCCACGGTAACGTAGCTTTCAAATTGTGGGACATTCCCATTGGCACGGACTCCAGCGGTGTCATTAACTCTGCGGATCTTGACTAGCCGTCCATCCAGCATGACATTGGTGAACTCAGAGGGGCGCTCACGTTTCAACAAAGGCATGGCTTCGTCCAGCAGGGCATTGGTGTAATCAGAGGCTTCTTCTTGAGGGGCTTCACTCTTTAAAATCTGGGTGCTCTGATTCTGAGGCATAAAGGCAGGAGGGAAGGAAGGCATGTAGTCGGTGTTTTTTCCGAACGCAAATGGGGTCCCGACGTTGGTTTTCCCAGGAAGGGATCCACGTCGAAGAGTTTCCATTTGGTTCCATGTATTGCTCGCAATTGAACCAAAACCTGCGCCACCAAATCCAGGGTCAGCCAGTGGAGTCTGCTGGTTGAGATTTCCGTAGTAGAGCTTTGGACAAGGAGTATCCATCAGAGGATCTGACATTAGTGGACCATGCTTGCCAACAGTCCAAGTTACTGGGTTGGAAGAAAGACTTGTTCGAGAACCGATTGAGAACGAACGTGGTCGTGGTGCTGGCGTTCGATGCTCCATCGAATTGGTGTTGAAAGTAACCTTATCGGCCGTACTGTTGGCTCTTGTGTCGTCCAAGGCGCCACCAGAAGCAGCGCTTGAAGACCATCCAGAAAGCCCTATACCAAGAGCAAAGCCAGTGCTCAATCGTTTCTTGAGAGGAGGCGGCATTGGATACGGTGGTTCGAACAACGACGACGAGGACGCCAACGATAATGGTTTTGATTCAAAGGTGTTGTAGTTGGCAGTCTGCGTCCAGGGTGCGCTCTGCTTATCTTGCCCTTGCCATGAAATAGATTGCCTAGAATCGATACTTCGAAGGTTGCTTGACTTTGTTTCTTTCAAGATTCCAAGAGAATAATCCGTCGTCGAAACTTGAGCGTTGCTTTCGTTGCTACGTGATGCAGCGGCAGTTCCAGTTATCCACGGCTTTGGCTCGGTCTCGTTCTGCTTGTACCCTTGCGTCTGATGCAAATCTTCCTTGCTGTTGTTGAAAGTATCGTCTTGGTCAATGTTCATGTCAACAGTTCAATCTCGTTTGATCGACAACGATGTCAGGTGGTTTCTTTTTTCCTGAGAATGAAAGTGTTCGCCGTTTCTTCTTTTGCGCGAGATTTGTGTGAGGCAAGTACATTACTCTACGTGTCGTCTGGCGCGAAAGTTTCCTTAAGTCTTTTTTGGCCGTTGTCACAACCGACCTCGCTCCCCAATCGTCCTTCACATTTTGAAGACAGGCACATCATAATTTACCTTCAAAGAACACTCATTTCAAATCGATCAAAACAAAACTCTCTTCTTCCAACAACAAAATGACGAAAGATGCTCAAATCAACCTAAAGGGCAGTGTTGCCATCGTCTCAGACTTTTTCTTTACAGCAATCAACTCGATTTTGTACCAACGCGGTAAGTGCAAGAGTTGAAGCGTGTTGTTCCATATTTCATTGCCAACGATTTGGTTGACATGTTTCGCTCTCTTTCTTGCTGACGCAGGCATCTACATGCCGGAAACTTTCAAGCGAGAAACCAAGTATGGGCTCACTGTGCTGACCACAACAGACCAAGGTTTGTTGAAGTACCTCGATCAAATCGTCAAGCAGGTCGAGGAATGGCTCCTCTACGGTGACGTACAGCGGTTGGTTGTGGTGGTTTCCGGCGCCGACTCTGGAGAGACCCTTGAGCGCTGGCAATTCAATGTCACTATTGAAGATGGCGCTGCGTCTGGCGAAAACAAAAACCCAAACAATTCGACCGTTACGAGCAACAAGTCCGTCAAGGAGATTCACAATGAGATCCAAGCAATCATTCGACAAATCACCGCCAGTGTCACATTCTTGCCTCTTTTGAATGAGCCTTGCACTTTTGATCTTCTCGTATACACCAGCAAAGATGCCGTTGTCCCAACCAAGTGGGAGGATTCTGATCCATGCTACATTATGAATAGCCAGGAAGTCAAGCTCCGAAGTTTCACCACCAAGGTATGTCGCAAGCCAGCTATATATATTGTCCTGGGATGATAAATTTTGCTTTCCGATGTCGTCTCACAAACATCTCCTTACTAAAGATTCATAAAATTGATTCTTTGGTTGCATACAAAGAGGCTGATGAATGGGATCTCTAAGTGGATCGCTCGAATGAACAGGCTTGCATGGATCTGATGCAGTCTATTATGTAGTAACTGAGGATAGCCAACAGTAGTCTTGCAGCCATTTGGATGAGACAATGAAAACATCCTGTCAAAACAATCAATAACGAGGGAAGCACCCATGTGTCGAGTGAATGCCAGAGTCAGTCGCATCTTTAATCCACAATCCACGGCACAAAAGAAAGATAGAACATAGTAACAATCAACTAGCCATAGTACAGTATAGCAGCTACCGGAGAGACCGGAGAGAACTACGAGATGACTCGATTAGAATATACAGGTACCCGTCAACAGTAAACCATGGTCTTGGTCGTGATAATTCCACCATTTCAGTGGTACCGGTACCAATATGTGTACCCACCATTTCAGTGGTACAGTCGTACCGGTAGCAGTACCGAAAGATGTACCCGTACCGGTACAAGTGTACCCGTACAAGCGTACGGTACGCTGTACCTGGTACCGTCTCTCTAGTTGCACCTTCTTAGATACTTCTTGATGTATGCTTCAGTGGGCGGCTTCTTCGGCTGAAACTAACAGCGCACCTGTACGATGTATCATACGCTTACCGTATGCAGCAACGTTGATGACTTGCTGGCATACGTTATCGGTACCTGGTACCAGGTACCGGTACGGAGGGAAGGTCTCCATCGAAGCAGATACCGGTATGAGTCGGTGGGGGTATGACGTGCATGCATTGGAATGCCACCATCCATTCAGGTGGCTCTATGTTCAATGGGATGTCACCGCAGCTGTCGCAGCTGAGATGTAATCATTGGGGTCAGATGCTGCCTCTTGCGCATTCCCTGAAAGATTTTTCATCTTCAACGATTCCAGTAGCACCACTAGCTAGCAAACTCAAACTGATCCTCCCTCCACAAAAGTCGAGCGACATGGTGAATGGCTCGAAGCTAGCTGACAGAGCGCTGTGTCCTTGCTTGGTACGGACATGTATTCCTTTCTGCTACTTAGTACTGGTAGCGCTTGCAAGCTTGGGGCGCTCTTGCTGAGAAGGACCGTACTCGTACCGGTACCGGTACACTGTACCAACGAAGAGCGCCCCCCTCGTCTTCCATTCTAATGTCCACGATAACCTCCACGCTCCACGATTATGTATATCTCTATCTCTAAAGATTCGTCTGTACGCTGACCAACCGACGTCATCGTCGTCTATGTCTCCCCAGCTCTCCGAGAACCAACTCATCGAGGTGCAAGACAAGCGTGGCTGCTAAGAAGTCGGAGGTTGCAGCCCCTACGTTGTTTATTGGCGCTCTGCCTCGAGGATCGCATCTACTAGACTAGAGGCACTGAGGCTTTGATCATCGGCATCGACGCGTCTTGCTTGTGGCTGCTGCAGTTCCTGGAAAGTAGTCTAAGGAGAAAACAATAACCATGATGCAAAGGGCTCTCTCTGCTGTTCCTCGTGCTGCTAAGGCCATTAGCAAGCAACGACAATTCTCGGCGCTTGTGTCTTTGGATGAGGAGTTCCCTGGGTGAGTTGGTATATCGCATGAGAAGACGGCACCTCCCGCAGTACTTGGTGGCGTGAAATCCATTGGCAGCGCTACCTGGGGTCGATATCTATCCCCCGGAAAGCAATTCTCCTGCTAAAAATCCTTTGTACTCGTCTGGTTTGGGGTTTTCTGCCAGTATTTTTGTTCGAATACGACGGCCATGCCATCTTTCCCACGAAAATTGCCTTTGGATCTCACTGAGTTTGTGATGGTGTACACGTCATAATGGAATCCAAATCTAACTGTTTCCTTCTCTCAGTCTCCCAGCAACATCTCCTTCACCTGCCACTGCTAGCAGTCCCTCTGTGTCGACACTTCCCAGTGGTCTGACAGTGGTAACTGAAGATGCGTCTTCCTCCACGACTGTCACCCTGACATTCCCAAAGGCTGGATCTGCAGATGAAATGCTCGATGAACAGGGGGCTGCTCTTGTAAATAAGGGCCTTGCTTTCAACAGTGGTTCAGGATTGTCTACCATGATGATTATGAGAAACATTGAAGATGATGGAGGTATGCCATTTTCCTCGGCTGGAAAATTTGGAGCTACCCTAGGTTTTACCTGCCCTCCCGAAAATGCTGCTCGATTGGCTCCTCTTCTTGCCACCGACTGCAGTTTTGAAAAGTGGGATGTCCGTGATGCCCGAAAATTGGCTGCCACAGAAACCGAAATAGCGCAGTCCAGTGCCCAGGTTGTTTTGACCGAGCATCTTAATGCGGCTGCGTTTGGACCCCAGTCAGCGGCCGGTAGACCCTTCTACTCGGCATCTTCGGTTGGCTTGGCAGAAATTCAATCATTTCGCAGCCGTGCCTACGGTGTGAACGGAGCCGTTTTGGCTGTCACGGGTGTTGCCGATCATGCATCATTCGTCAAGGCAATTGAAGAAGGATTTTCCGAATCGCCTGCTGGAACTCCGGATGCTGCAGCTTCCCTTACTATTTGGGTGGAGAAAGCCGACTGGCCGTGCCAAGTGGATACGCACACGTTGCACTTGCCTTTGATGGTACGTCTGCGTCTTCGGCTCTTTTGAGTATCGTCAAGCACTGCTTCCAGTTGTCGGGGGCTGCTTCAGGCGTCACGGGCTTTAGCTCCAAAGGTCTCGTTGGTGTCTATGCTGGCGGTACATCTACGGGGGAGCTGGTGGATACCCTGAGTACGGCGGTTACCAGTGCTGGACCTGAACTCGTAGCACGTGCCAAGGTTCTAGCCAAGGCAGAGGCTCTCTTTGCTCTTGATGGAGGTAGCAAGTCTTTGGCAGAAGCCATGACGGCATCGGTGGTCGAGACCGGCACTTTTGCCGGTGCCGCGGGTGTTATCGCGGCATACGATGCTATTTCGGACAAGGAAGTCGATGCTGCCGTCTCGGCAATGTTCAAGAAAACGCCTGCCCTTGCGGCTGTTGGTGACATTACCAGTGTTCCGTACCTCGGATCCATCGTGTCTCGCTTCTCGTAATGTTGACTTAGTGGCTCGGGTGATTCGTCCTGGTTTTGGCACGTCTACAGCACTTTCTACATGGTGAATAAATCTTAATAAAGAGTCTGTTAAGCTGCGCTGTTGTGACTGTCATCCTTTCAGGATTGCAAAGAGGAAGGGTAGATGTACTGGTAAGGAAGAGGGCAGGCCACAAGGTCAAGTCCTTTTGGAATGTACGTCAAAGAGAAGACTGTTGGGAAGTAGTTTGTTTCGAACCTAGAAGAGGACGGCAGGGGGAAAGAGACCTGGTCTAGCTATATCAGAGCTGACTTGCGCAAAATGCGATGGGATGTCTGGTACACTGTACGGAAATTGTGCTGCCAGGTATATGGGCAGGTATTTTTTCTGTAAGGACAGCAAACTTCACTATCCAGTGTTGGCTACATACTCAGGCAAATTGCCAGTTCATCCTTCAGGGCAGCCGTTTTCTCGTGCCCAGTTAAGAACATCCTGGCGCATATAGGCAGATGCTTCTACGATGGTCCTATGATCCCATGGGCAGTTGTTCTCACGGGCATATTTCAGGACCTCCAAATGCCCACCCTCGGCAGCACAGGAACATGTCTTTGAGTCCCATTCACACCCATTATCATGGGCCCATTTCAGAACTTCCAAATGACCACCCTTGGCAGCCAAAGCGCATGTCCAGGTATTCCATGGACAAAAATTTTCTCTGGCCCATTTCAAGACTTCCAAATGGCCACCCAAGGCAGCACCACAACAGGTATCGGTAGTTTCATCCCGTGGACACCGATGAGAATGGGCATATATCAGGATATTCAGGTGGCCTCCCCATGCGGCATAAGAACATGTTGAACAATTCCATGGACAGCCATTCTCACGGGCATACTTCAATACATCCAAATGACCTCCCGCCGCAGCATCGGCACATGTTGAAGGATTCCATGGGCATCCATTCTCATGCAGCCATTTCAAGATATGCAGATGTCCACCACGGGCGGCGGCAGCACAAACCGATGGATCCCATGGACATCCCTTCTCGTGCCGCCATTTCAAGATATGCAGAAATCCACCGCCGGCGGCCGCAGCACATACCGAAGCATCCCATGGGCAGCCCTGGTCAAGAGCCCATTGCAGAAGTTCCAAATGCCCATTTCGAGCAGCATTTTCGCAAGCCTCCTTGTCCCATGGGCAGCCATCTCCACGAGCCCATTTCAGGACGTCCAAATGGCCACCCTCGGCCGCAGCATAACAGGTGTTTTTGTCCCATGGAAATCCATTTTTCGTGCCCATTTCATCACTGGCAGCGACCCCACTTTGGCAATTGCGGTGCAAACCTTATGGTGCCGAGGGGACTTCCCTGAGTTTTGATTGTATTTGTGCCAGTATTCAGCAGTGGATACATTGTAGAATGCTGCTGAGTAATATGTATCTCTGTAGTTTGTTGGGCGATTTTCTTCGGGCCACTCTGCTGGCACGAGTGGAGGCTCCTTCACAGTGTCACAGAATTCTTGATAAAGCTGCTTCCACTGCTTGTTGACACTGCCAACAAAGGCAAACTGTCCCATGCCCAGACAAGAAAGAACCTGGCCAATCCAAAGATCCTTCTGGTCCACCAAAAACTGCAGATCTGGAGGGGACCATTTCTGCTTCTCTTGGCAAGGCTCACTACTAGTGGTATAGTAAGAACACGTAGGGAGGCAGTGCGTGTTGGGTTGTATTAAGGTTGGTCGATTTGATTCACTCTGTTAATACCGTTATCGATCCTATCATCTCCGACAGCAACCTCCACTTTGCTGTTTTGCGTTTTGCGCTTTGCCGTTTTGCTTTGCTTTGGCCTAACGATCGAAAAGATATCATTCACGGATCCAAACGTGATCAATCCTCACCACAAACAGGTCCAAAAAACAAGAAAGCAAGCGCAATCATTCTTCTCCTTCATCTCTCGAGTGGTACCGTGTTAGGCTACGGTATCAATTCATGCAATAAATAATGAGAAACCTTGCTTTAGTTGGAGAGTCTCGACGGGAGATTGAGTTGCCAGAGTTGGCTCCTCCTGGTCCCAACGGTCGCCATGCCGTGGATATTTTCCAGACCGTGTCGGATGGGTTTTCCGATGGTTCCAGCAGTTTTGTCTTGACCAACGATGGCTTTTTGCTCAAAGTACATAATAATAACAACAATGATAACAATAAACCCGAATGGATTGCGCCTCTGGATCAATTGTGTGAAAATCCCGGTGGAGAGTGGTTCGATCTTTCCTATGTCGATTCCGGAAATGAACTCTTGCTGGTCTGTCTTTCCCACAATGGCGCCATTGTCACGGTCGATCCCACCAGTGGACAAGCCGAGTTGGTGGGGGAATTTGAACATGGGTTGCAAACGGGAGCCTTTTCTCCCGATGGTGAATTGCTGTGTCTCTTGACTTTTTCGGAACCAGAAGAAGAAGAAACTACGAAACGAAATTCGGCACTCTTATTGATGAATGCTCAGTGGGATGTCCTGGCCGAAGTCAACATTCCAGCTCATATTCCCTCCGAACA